ATCTGGTTAAGAAAAATTATACAAGACACCATTTCAGACCTTCAAGAAGAATGGCAACTGATTGGCTCCAAAGGTTTTTAAATACAGAGTAACTATCTACAAGACATGCAGGTTACATCAAAGTATAATTTTTTTTTGTGATTGGCAAAGAATAACTATATGGCTTGCACTGTTAGTATAAGGAGAGGTCCTTGGTTGGGAGGGAGGGAAGGAGAGAGGGAGGGAGGGAGGAGGGAGAGGTCCTTGGTTGGGAGGGAGGAAGGAGAGAGGGAGGGAGGGAGGGAGGGAGAGGTCCTTGGTTGGGAGGAGGGAGGGAAGGAGAGAGGGAGGGAGGGAGGGAGGGAGGGAGAGGTCCTTGGTTGGGAAGGAAGGAGAGGGATAGGGAGAGGAAGAGGGAGAGGAGGGAGGGAGAGGGAGGGGAGGGAGAGGGAGAGGGAGGAGGGAGAGAGGGAGAGGAGGGAGAGGGAGAGAGGGAGGGAGAGGGAGAGAGAGGGAGAGAGGGAGGGAGAGGGAGAGAGGGAGGGAGAGAGAGTGAGAGGGAGAGAGGGTGGGGAGAGACAGAGAGGGAGGGAGGGAGAGAGAGAGGGGGAAGGAGAGAGAGAGGGGGAAGGAGAGAGAGGGGGAGAGGGAGAGAGAGAGGGGGAGAGAGAGAGAGGGGGAGGGAGGGAGGGAGGGGGAGGGAGAGAGAGAGAGAGAGAGAGAGAGAGAGAGAGAGAGAGAGAGAGAGAGAGAGAGAGAGAGAGAGAGAGAGAGAGAGAGAGAGAGAGAGGGGGGGGGGCAATACAATCTTTTGATGACAAATCATCATCAAAACCAAGCTACATGCAAGGTTCTACATTTGCAGAAAATAAGAAAAGATATGTGAAAATCATCTAGTGGAGATGGCAAGTGCAGATGGTAATCAGCTCTGAGAGACAAGAGGAGATACAAGTGAGGAGTCTGTTGCAATTTAATAATGTCAGAGCCCGAGGAGAGTAAACCTTCCCCTCAGGCAGTAGCCTCTCATGGCAACCCAGTAATAATAATAATAATGATGATAATGATAATGATAATAATAATAATAATAAAAAAAGTGATATGGAATTAGAGGGGGGGAGGGGGAAGTGTCAAGTGATTCTATATTGTAGAGAATGACCAATGTGTCAAAAGGTCTATCTTGCTAATCTTAATCTATATGTGGTCAAAATTTGATGCCTTTGCTAGTGTGGCAAAGATGTAAAGTTGGTGCATGGACCAGTCCTGTCTCTCCTTTGTATACTTTGTTGCAGCTACCACAAGGTATTCTGTAGGAACATTCAATTTCTTTGGACAGCATTCTGTCTATGAGTAACTTTTAACTTGATATGCTTATTTTATAAATAATTTAGTATTTTTTGCACAATTGTTTTTAAACTAAACCTACTTGTCCCTTTGACTGCTACTAAGAAGAAGAATATGTTCATCACAACTGCATTTTTTGCAACATAATATAGTGATAAAAGTATGGAAAAGAAGAAGAAAAAAAAAAAAAAAATACAATGCACTTTTTGGTTGCATGTCAGCAAAATGGATTCCCCCCCAAAGTGGTTGCATTTACAGAAAGTATGCTGGTAAGTTGTAAATGTTTTAGATTTTTGTGTGGTTTTCTTTAAAAGGGTTCATAACATCACACTTCCACCATTCAACTTATTGTGATACTGTATCCCAAGACTGATAACAATAAGTATGCCTGATTGCCTGACAAATTTGGTACATATAAAGCATTACCTTGACTTTATTCCAAATTTCCAATTATTTTTTGTTGCACAGAACAAACTAAATGCTAAAAGTAAAGAAGCCAATTTTGTACACACTATCAGTTTTATTTTCTAGTAAAATAACATCAAACAAGTAATCTTAATGCAAATACAGTCCCCAACTTAAGAACATAACGGGGACCAAGAGGCTGTTTGTAAGTTGATTTGTTTGTATGTCGAAAGTCGGGTCTCCATTACCTTTTTTCCCATTGTTTTAAAGTTTTGTTTACACTAAGAATACCTGTAAATAAATCCCAATAAGTACGACATACCTTATACAGTACCAGACTCTTGAACCATATTCGTGCCTGGGAAATTTGAAGTTTGCTAGCACCTTTCAAATAATTTTTTGGACGTTAGTACTTAAAAAATTTTGTTTGTATGTATGGATTGTTCATAAGTAGAATGTTCTTAAGTAGGGGACTATCTGTATATAGATTAATATAATATGGAAGCTTCTTAAAACACATTTTTGGGATATGTCTTGCAATAAAAGTACTTGGATAAGAGGAGGGAACATCACACTGTAGTGTCATTAGCAAACTAAAATAAGTTCAAAGAATCACCCTTGTGGAACTCCATCTCAAAAAAAGTGTTCGTTAGCCTACTGCTTTATAGAAAAAAAAAGGGAGAGAAAAGAAAGGAGCGAGAGACACACACAGAGAGAGAGAGAGAGAGAGAGAGAGAGAGAGAGAGAGAGAGAGAGAGAGAGAGAGAGAGAGAGAGAGAGAGAGAGAGAGAGAGAATTGTTCTATCAATTTTTTGAGCCCCAGACACACCTACTGTTCCTTTCTTATGCCATTTCCCTTTTCATTACCATCTGAGTCTATTCCTTAAACTCTATGACAAGCTACATTTATGTCTCCATATCTCACAATAAAAATTAGACTGCTCTAAGACCACATAACATATGAGCTTACATGAATAACAGTAAAATCTTTGAGGGCATCTTACTTCCTTTAAATATACAGTGGGACTTACATTACTCTTTTGACAAATGGCCAAGCGGTAAAAAGCTTACTTTCAAAATCACTGACTTTGCAATGGTTTAGGGACCATAGCATTTATTTTCACTTGGCCTTGTCTACACTGACTGGATCATTTGAAAATCACAGTTTAATAGAGATATAAAGTTTTACTTGCTGTAATGACCACTCCATTACATGCATTTAAAAGGGCTGAAATAGTCATGTGAAAGAAAATGAGAACAGAGGTAAATAAGGGGACAAATCATGTTATGAAAGTTTCGAGGACACATTTCCTGGGTTCAGTTCACAATGTGAGAACTTTAAATGGTTATGTAATAATAATTGAAAATTGAGAACTCACATTGATGCTATTACTATGTTTTTTTTTTGTGTTTTTTTCTTCTACTTCAAAGCTCAAGAATGCTCTTCCTGCTGGTGCCCTCCACCCCCCACCCCCCCACCCCCTGTTAAATTTCCCCTTCTTCAAAAGACAAACATTTTACTTGAGTTTCTGATGCCACAAATTGGGCACTGACAGTCCATTCTGTATCATAAACATAAACAAAAAATAAACATCTAAAAAAAAAAAAAAAAATATATATATATATATATATATATATATATATATATATATATATATACATACTTACATAAAGATATGTATATATGTATATACATATATATGTGTATTTATATATATATATATATATATATATATATATATATATATATATATATATATATTTATTCATATAAGTATATATATTGTTTATATTGTCTACAACCTTATTATTCTTGTATATATGGAAATTTTATGGCTATCATACTTTTTGGATTAATAAGATGTGTGCTTTCTAAACATCTAATATAGTGAGAGAAATGAACTTTTCCCCAAGGGCTGGTAAATCTCATATCTTAAGAAATACAGATTAAGAAGATATTTAAAAACATATTTCCCCTATACTTCCATTGTATTTATCTTGCCCACTGTCTTTTTGTTTATAGATGGTCCTTACACATCGCTCTACAAGTACTTAGTTACCAAGGAGTCAAATACTTGTCCTACTTGTCCAGTTTACCCTTGATTTTCAGATTGCTTTTCTTAATTGCTAATAGTAGTTAATGACATTATATTTATAATAATGTTAACAACATCAATAACATCAATATTAATAGCATTTGAAAGTCAGGTGGTCATGTAATCTACAATTTTTTTGGCTCCTTGGTGGCTAGTATTTGTAAAGTCATCTATGTGCAGACAAAGTTCACAAAAGAAAATTACAGTGTGATTATCTAGCACCAGTGGGTTAAACAATACAAGAAACCTTTTTAGTTAACAGGAAGACAAAGAACTGAAACAACTGCAAATATTTTCAATAATCAAAGGCATAATGTCCTTAGACTCTTGGAGAATACCTACCTGCTTTACATCTAAATATCAAACTTCTCAACACACTAAATACAAGAATTTTTCCCTCATTTATACCTTGCCAACTGTAGATTAATAAATAAATTTCCTGCATGATATTAATGACTTGTTCTAAAACAGGGCTATTCACTGACAAAATTATGAACCTCAAATTAATTCTTGATATTAACTTAGGAAACTGGAAATCGATTCAATTCTTCACTGCCTGCCAAGTGCACAGCTGAACTCTTGAACTCCAAGGCTAATCAAACATCCACTTTATATTTTCTAGTTAGATAAAGCTTGTATACGTTCAACGCAATGTAGTGTCAAATAATGAGCTCTATCTTACCAATATACACAGAATATTGTTGGCCTTTGCTGAAGTGCAGGACATAATAAATACTTGGCAATGTGCCACACTAGTGTTGGCCTTCACACTATAGGCCACACATCAAAGATCACAGCATATTTGGATATGAACAGGAAATTATCATTAAGTATAATAAGTGATAAGCAATCCTCTAATTATTTACCCTTCACCAATCTTTATTTACAAATTATTACTTTCATTATTTGTCAAGGGTAAAACAGCAAGTATCATGTATATGAATATCTTTGTATAACTGATACTATCAAATAAATCTGTTTGCAGTTTCAACAAGTTCCTTGCTTGATTCCGAGTTGAAAATGTACTCAAACGAACCCATGTACTAAAGGTCATAAGGCCTATAGTAAATTTGTGTATGATGGTGATATCATGTGCTTGTTGCCTCAGTAGGCACCCAAGTGCTGATCTTGTGTTCAGGAGTTTGGGGCTCTCCTGGTGCCTCAAGCAGTGAGGACCTTTACTATTCCTAGCCCATAGGAAGAGGTGGCGACTTGCAGAATCAGTAAGTCAAGGCTATGCATCATTCAATGTAAACTCACTGTACTGTTCATTACTACCCTAATCTTCTATTTTTGAAGGTGACATTAAAGTATATTTATTATTCCAATTGGTACTGTTTGAAAATTTCTTATGCTCCACATCTGGCCAAAAGCACAGGCTCCTTTACTATAGCACAAGTTTCATATGTCACAATAATCATTTTGCTTGAAGACAACTAACTGTAAATAATAATTACAATGTCACTTAAAACTTAAAAAGTACTTTTAAATAAACAAAGGCAAAAATGTGGTGAACCAATTGTGGTTTACAACTTCAACCCAGAAAGAAATGCCCCTGAGTTAACTAAATGTCTAACAAAATATCAAAATAATTCATTCTAAAGTGCTATCATGTATTAAGCCACTCACTATGGTGAGTTCTGCTGAGCCAGTATGCCTAGAGAAACAATGACAAGGCTGAAGTAGTAGCAGTGGAGAAAGCTACTCTCAAGTACATTTTTGTATATTTCATAAAATCATTATCTGTTTATGTATATCAAATAATATAGGATAAATAAATAAAGGTGTATTACAAGCAAAACTAAGTTCTAGCTACAAAGTTCCCACCAAGTCCATGAAGTCCAACTGTCATAGTCATGAGCACTACCCACTCTTTGCATCTTCACTATGTGGATTATTCGCTAAGCTAATTATGTAAATTCCCTTGCATCCCTTTCCAAAAGCCATCCGGACACCAATCCCGCGCAGGGCCCTTGGGGGAGTGCCCAGCTGGAGCCGCCAGAGGCCCTTTTTTAAGGCCACTCACCCTCCCCAAAGAGCTCCCAGGGATTGCACATGACGCCCTCTGCTCGACACGCCCCCTCCTGGCCAGCACCAACCACTTGGCCAATTTACTTTTTTAAAAATCTTCTTTCCGTTTACTCGGGATATACAGCAAAGTCTCTGTACTTACGACGCAGCGAACTGCTTTTCTTTGAACTTCATGTTCTTCCAGCATTTCCGCAGCTGCTCGACGTTCCTCTTCTGGCCCTTGCAGTTGGCGTTGTAAATCTCGGCGATCTCCTTCCACTTCCTGGCCTTCTTGTGCGCCGTCGTGGCGTCGGCGGCGTGGCTCTGCAGGATGGGGTTCGTCTTCACAAGCACGGACAGGAGGGCCTTGTCCTTGGCCGTGAAGCACCGACGGGGCGCCATTTTGACCCGACCGACTCCCTTTCGGCCGACCACAAGCGTTCGGTCGGTCGGTCGGTCGGCCGGACGCGCCTCCAAGCCCAGGCTCAAGTCCCGGCTCAAGCCTGACTCAAGCCGAGTCGTGACTCCACACGTCGAGGGGAAAATGGACGCGGTGCAATGTGCTCTGTGTTTCAGTGTGCTGGCCGAACACGACCCGACTGATAGTGGAGGAGGTGTCCTGGCCTGAACGAAGAATTACGGTCTTGTCCCTCGCAGCAGCACACCGGTGGCCGCTGTCCCTCCTCCCAAATATCGACAAGCAGCGGCCAGGGGCAACTCGGGCTTTTGAGCATCGGCTTGGAAGGAATTACAGCTGTCGACTACAAGCGTTGTCCATAATGCTTTCACCAAGCCATTTCTCTAGTGCTGCGTTGTAGAATGCTCCCTGATCGCTATGGATACTTCGGCTTTAAACTCGACCACGCAGAGAAATATCTTACATCTCTCGACCGTTTTAGCTACTTTGCTGCCATCCAGTCACGCCATAATCTGGCCTTGATCAAAACTGAAGTAAATTATCTATCGAAAACTGACTGAGGAAAGTTTAGCGGCGACTTATCTGACTTGATTTGAATTTGATTTTAAAGTGTCTTTAGCTTATGAAAAAGTCCTTAATATCACGAAAGATATAATCAAGCATCGTTTTTTGTGACTCACTTGTATGAAAATGTTGGGAACGGTGCATAGGTCCATGGTGAAGCATCTCCCATAATAAAGTAGTTTGGAACAGTCTCGACGGCATTGATCAGCTGCGCTGACTCGACTCCAGGCGATATCTGCGATTGGGGAAGACTTGTTACTTGTATTAGGTGGTACACATGATATTTAAGGGAGGTGAGTATTCTAAATGGAAAACAGTGATCCGTCATTAAAAGTTCCCAACCCCTTCACCACCTCTTGCTTAACCCAATGACGCCGGGTGTACAAAAGGAAAATAAAACTCTACGCTCTGGCAAACAAAGGCGGCGCACTGTGGTTATTGGAGGGTCTGTCAACCCAGCAAACCTTGTTATCGAGAAACTTTCTCGTGTTAATGTATTGACAGAACATATATATAATCAAACAAACAACTGTCTCAAGGAATAACAGTTAAGAATTTATCTTTAGTTTCCTCATCGTGCGCTTCTCGGAACACGAGATTGCCTCAGACCCCAGTTCAACCGATTCAGCCGTAACCCTTATGCCGTGACATCAGAACTTTTTAATACCCGAATTCCCTCACGGCCAGAACGTATGGCCTAAATTGTTTACTAAGTGACCAAAATACAATACAGCTTATTGTGCGGCTTAATAGTGTGGTGAACATGTTCTTGAGGGAAAAAAAAGTGCTTAAACGGTGTATTTAGATGACTCTTGGGGCCTAAACATCTGAAGCTACACTTAGCCTCAAACGGTGATGCCCTAACAAGATTACGGCATTATTATTATTATTATTGTATTTTTTTATTGAAAGATGGGGACGGGTGTAATCATACTTCGTCCAGAAAAAAAACAAAAGAAGATTAGATAAAACAGTGTAAACGATAGCACTCTTAAAGGGTTTAGTTGCCACCCGATATTTTCGCACTGACAGGCTAATGTAATGCTCTTATTTAGACCTTGGTGCTAGCTAAGGCAAACGTGGATGAAACGAAACATACGCACACCCACACAAGCAAATATGAACAGGCATTTGTGTCCTAAAGGATTAATTATTTGCAACGGTATAAGTATCCTTGCTATCGAGGTATAGGCAACTTTGCGCTGACAGTAGGAGCGAATGTCCGTATATTGTCTTTGTCAGCTTACAAATCGGGAGTTTCTTAAAGGCAGCTTTTAGGTTTTTGTTTTTTCCTGGTCTTCAGGTTTTCTACTTTCTGGCCAACATAGAATCAACGCAATCATCATAGAATCAATAAGCAAGATAGTTTATTTCCCAGCTCACTATGAATCTCTATGCGACTTACCATGGGAAAAATGTCTCGGAAATTGCCATATACAAGGTGGTGTATCTATATCATTTTTATTCTTTAGACACGGATACCCTTCAATGGACTGGGAGGGCAATATGAGAGAATATATCAGCTGCCAAATGCGCTCTTAGTGCACTCTGCCCATTTTACCTATGGGGAAAGCTAACTACAAACAGAGGCAATTGGTAAGCGCCTAGTTGGGGAAGCAGCACCAGTAAAAGCCCTACAGTTCATAAAAAAAAAATATATAAATAAAGCCGAAAGACTAGGATGGCTTCGATGGGGTCTCAAACAGTATTGCGAAAATATGACGGAAGTGTTTTGGAAGAAGTCTTTGTCATTAGAAGAACAATTCTAATTAGGTTTTGATACATTACAAACATTATTATTTGACTTGGCAAACTTTCGGCCAGAGTAAATATCTGCTATCATAGGTGATAACTGTTCGGTTCTATACTATTTACATATAACTATATATCTACTCATCTGTCGTATTATTCATCTCTCTATCTATTCATTCATTCACACACACATATACATGCATGCATATATATATGTGTGTGTGTGTGTGTGTGTGTGTGTGTGTGTGTGTGTGTGTGTGTGTGTGTGTGTGTGTGTGTGTGTGTGTGTGTGTATGTATGTGTGTGTGTGTACATATATATCGATAGATAGATAGATAGATAAAATATATATACCGTCTTTGCTAATCAGCCTTCTTAAATAATTTTTGTCTCTTTCCTAGATTTGATTGCTGGATCCTCATGTTCAGTATCTTTTACATCCCTAGTATTTCATATTTACTGTTTGTGTCTGCCGTTGGTCTTTAAAAAATATATTATCATTATAAATGCCGGGTATTGGGCGACTCCACTCACTGCCCCAAATTTTAATCATTTAATATTATTTATTTTAAAGACATTGCATGACATGAAAATTATGAAAGCAAGATTATGAAATACGAAATATATAGCTCAGATTTCAAAAACAGCCACAAATCAACATTCTACACGATGAAGAATTTAAAATAATGGGTTGCTTGAAAACGAAGTTAAATATTTCGCTGTTTTTTCTCTCAAAATATTGAAAGAGATTATCAAAGCGAACCATATTCTCGTTATTTTCGTCGGTACGCTAATGGAAATGAATTATATCTAATCTGGTTACGACGAGAACGCAATATACTGAATATATATAGGCCAATATGTAATCGAGTCTAAGTATTAAAGGGAAGCTCGCCTTCAGTGTATTGCAGGTTTTCCACGCTAGGTTATTACCATGCTCTTCCGTGAATAGTTAATAAGTTTGGGCAAACAGTATTTGTTATTATTGTTGTTGTTATTGTTGTTATTATTATTATTATTATTATTATTATTATTATTATTATTATTATTGTTGTTGTTGTTGTTGTTGTTGTAGTTGTTTTTGTTGTTATTGATATTATTATTATTATTGATATTGCTATTATTATTATTGTTATCATTATTATTATCAGAAGTAATGTTGTTGTTTTCATTATTATTGTTATTATCATTATCATCGTTATTATTATGGCTATTGTTAATTATCATTTTTAATAATTATCATTGTTATTATTATTGTTATTTATTATAATAATAATAATTATTATTATTATTAATGTTATTATTATCACTATTGTTATTATTATTATCATTATCATTATTAATATCCATGTTACGGTACATAATAGAGGCATTATATTTTTGGACATCACCGGAAAAGCAAATTTCGAACTTTTATTTATATTGCAAGCTACGA